CGATCAAGCAAAGGCACGAAGCCGCAAAAAAATTTAAGTCTCCTTGAAACCCCTCCTCCTTCGTTTTCCCCAAAATCTTCTTCCCTTTTCAAATTTCAAACTTACTTATTAAGTAACCACTCTTCTCCTGCAATCACGTCTCACTTGTATCTATTTGGTCAAACATGTTTGGGATAATTCTATCCACGAAATGATTAAATTCAGGCGCCGTACATTTTTTCCTATACTCCCCAAGAAAGACAATATAGGTATTTAATCTTTCGTACGGGGTGGGAAATTTCCAGAGATACACAACCAACAAAACGTCTCCCACGAAGCAATGCTCAGCGTACTCACTTTGCATCACAGTTTTAAAGCGACAATAAATGTCTTCAGTCCCCATTCAAGTCTTTTTTTTTCCTTTTTACAAAGTTGCAGCTCCGTAACCTCCCGCAACGGAAATTGGTTTTAATTTTCTATTTCCAGGCTTTCAGCATATACCTATAAAAAGATTTTTATCAAATGTCTGTCCGTTTGTCGTTCCCCGAGGCTGTCTTCTCATTAGGGAAGGAAAGGGCATTCTCATTTTGACCAACAGTTTGCAGTTCAATTCAGCATCTTCAAAATGAGCTTCGTATTGGTAATAAGACTTCGCTCTCTATTCTGGCTTTACTGCAAAAACTCCCTTTCATTCATGATGTGCATCTGCAATAGATACCTTCACATACTAGCCTCAGTGGTAATGAAATAGCTAATATCCTAGCTAAGGGAGGTGCTTCAATGACTCTTACCGCTGGCACTCTGACCTTTTTAGAGATCAGCTCGAGAGTTAAATCTACTGTTGCCTCTTCCCGGCATTCTCCTCCGGCTCATGAATGGTACTTTGCCAGGTAACCGGAAGATGCTAATACTTTTGGAGATATTCGAGCTCACCAGACCAGGCTCCCAAGTGACTTTGACGAGGCTCCTAAGTTGACACCTGAAGTGTCTTAAATTTAACCGGGAAAATAAGATCTATCTCACCTGTAGGAAATGTAATACTGATCATTTCATTCCTAAACATCTTCTCACATGTTTGGGACTTTCAAAAGATGACCTATTGAAAAGACCTACTTTCGTTTTGGATTTATTGACGGTTCTTGGACTCATGTATCTTGTCTAGCCTAATGGCTAACCACTTAGGATCAGTAATAGCAGCAACAAAAGCATTCTCTCTTTCTTTTGCAACAGACACAAGAGCTAAACCATCCTTTAACCTAATCTCAATCAGTTTTCCTGGCACCTTCCGCTCGTTTCCTGTCACTAGTTCCCCATAATTAGGATACCATTGAAGTCCAAATCTCTGCATAACAATTAGTTTTAAAAGTCATTGTTCTTTTGATAGTTGTAACTAATTCGCCCTGACATTGAATACAGCCTAAACAAATCTGTTAGTTTCTGTAAGTCAAATTGGCACAAGCCCTGTTAATTTAGGGTTATGAAAGGCATTCACAATAAAGAAGCTGCACGCCTAAATATGTTGCAGTGCTTGTATAATGACAAAACAAGGCAAAAAGCAATTGCATCACCTTTTAGGAAGTATTGAAAGAAATCGCACTTACAAGCGTTATTTTTACATTTATTCGAGGCTCTTAAATCAGTCAGTGATATCTTCTTAATATTCAGAACATTAAATATCATTCGGTGGTTATGATAAGAGATTCAGTGTTTTATTAGAGAGATTCGGTGTTCATTCGGTGCTCTTGGTAAAAGAAGGCATTACGTTGACAAATATTCCCAAACGCATGAATGCAGCCTATGCTAACACAGTAGTTTCTCATGCCATGACAACTGGTGGGATAGCATGTTAGATAGAGAACAGTGTCGCTCAAATAATGATTCTTGATTTCGCTACAGTGTGAATGAGACCGCTGATGAGATTTGTACTGAAGTCTAGGAATATGCGATAGAAACAATGAGTAACATTTTCTCGGAAACATTGCATCGGAAATGGGTATGAGTGCTGAATCAAAAGAAAAACATCCCTCTAGATAAGAGGAAGATATCGGATGTCTGCGTCACATAGGTAAATGAAGAAATATTACGGAAATAGGCATCAGTAATGGATCAGTGAAGAAATGAAATTCTTGCTAGAAAAATCTTAAGATGTCGAGAATTTGCACCAGATGGGTAACCAGAATGTTGACGCTGGAAATGAAGAAAATCAAAATTGTTTTTCACTGGTAGTGGCAGAAAGATAAAACTTGGCTTTACCACCGTGACCCAGACACAAAACACCATAGTTTGAAACAAATAGAAATTAAATATTATCCAACCTCATAAAGTCAGAATCGATAAATCTGCCTAGAAGATTTTTTGGTAATGAAAGGGTAATTTCAGAGGTACACATCCGATGCTGAATTACAGTGAAGTCACAGTATGCTTTTGACTTTCTTTTGGCCCCTCTAGAGCCCCAAGATGATTATTCACAGATATTTCTAAAAATACCTTGAAAATCGTAATCGTATCGCTGGCTATATCATTATTTTCACGACTTTCTCTACATTATAAAATGTTTACTACATTTTTCAGAAAAGGTAAGGAAGACAAGATTCTTGTTGTCCTCATCTTGTCTGTTACTTTCTTCCACAGATAAATTCCATAAGAAAATATTCCATCAGGGCATCATTCCCATGAGCGGCTGAGTGGTAAAATCACAGAAGAGTGACACATTTGATCCGCCTACGGTATGTTTACATGCGGCCACCCCATTTGTCAAATCCTGGCGAGTGGCTGCGTGGGACTTTTTATACATTCCCCATGTGTAACGTAAACATGAAACAGATTTCCTTAAACATTTCTCCACTTAGGGAGGGAATTTTCCCGTGCTTAGCTGTAATTTATATAGTCCAAACAATTTGGCTCGCCATATTTTGATTAAACAAACAGCTGCAGATTTAAATGCAGCAACACATTTCGGTTTATGTGACAAACGAAGAGTAACAATGTGTTCCTGAGTGAAATCTTTCAAGAAGAGATAGCCATACATTATTTCGCCGAAATGCATAAAGCTTTTCTGCAAAAATAATAACAATCAAGGTTAAATTTGTCTAATTTTAAAATTCATACGCGCATACTTTTTCTCAGAGATTATTTTGCAGCGAATCCAGTTTCACGTTCCTTTTTCCTTAAAAAGCTGTGGCCCTAGACATCAAAATGTCACGAATCTTTCGCCTTTAAATGTCACAGAATGTTGCTATTTTTCTTGCATTATTTAGGTTCTAAAAGAATTCATGTGTTACATTTTTAGCAAAATTCTGTTTAACAGTGTAGAAATAGAAATATTATAGTGGTATAAAACAGTATAACTCTTATTCCTTTTCTGAAGCAAATTTTCATGTTGTAAGTATTAAATAAAGCTGTTTTTGCATTTCAGCCATTACGAATTACATTGTTTCTCGCTTGCGCAAAAGTCTTAAATCTGAATTGACAAAATTGATAGTAATTTTACTGCAGCTCAAATTTCTGAGGATAGAGTATTCTAAATGATTTTCATAAATTTCACAAATATAATAAAAGTCCAGAAATTTGAGATTTTTTTCAAGCTTACTCATATTTCTGTTATGATTCATGGATTATTCTTTAAAATTAAATAATTTTAAAACTTAGTACATGTATTGGACTTGAAAACGTATCACATAATAACGAATATTATATGAAAGCAACAGATGTACGCATGTATAATAAATTGTTTCAAATCCTGTTCATTTAAAAGAGAATCTTGATTTCACATAACAACGTGATATCAGATTTTGATTGATGATTTATAAATGTAAATTTCAGTTCAAAAGCATATATATAGTGTAATGCTTATTTAATTACACGTTAATTGTTTATATTGTTTGATACTAAGCATTTTCTTAATTTTTTTAAAGATTAGAGTAATCTTCGCATGCAAAATTTTTCAAATTTATTGTTGATAGCAAATTTATTGTTTATTCTAGGTCATGAATTTATGCGACTTTTTCAAACTAATTCCAGTCATTTCGAGGGAAACAATCACCAAATCCCTCTTCTTCAGAAACAAGCATTCTGTTAAAACTGTTGCTGATATTTGTCGTAGATCTTTGGCCATCGGTAATAACGATTTCTCCAACTAAGTTTTGATCCAGTATATCCCGAGAGATTTTATTATTCTTTTCCTTGCATCAAGCTTTTAAAAGTACTTTCATGCAAAACGACTTATAACTCCTCATTTAGTAGTCCTTTGAAAAATACAACTGGAAGCTCTGCCCTGACATATATCCATGACTAACTGGAATTCAACACCCAGCCTTTCAGCTAAGAAACAATTTACACTGAGCAACATAAGAAGATTTTAAAAAATTCTGATAATAATAGGTAATATTTAAGATCTGAGTATAATTTGGTTTATTTAATTTAATAATGACAAAGTACGCGAGGGCTGTCTTCTAAGGTGAGAGATAACTTCGTGGAGAACTTTCTAAGAGAAACTGGCTCTATACATGTTACGCATGGGGAAGCCACGGAAAGACCCATGCAGCCAGTCCATCCGCTTAGAATTGAACCCAAGTCATAACTACCAGTATTCAGCGATCGTTCGGCCGCTGGTGGACCAGACTTGAATATAAATTTACCATTTTATATTTTGTAGTCTGTCTTGGTTTAATAAACTTCAGTGTGTTCTCCATTTATCACTGTAGTCTTAAATTAAACACTTTTTTATACAGAGCTCACTTATAAATCAGTCCTTAAATGTCATCATATATTGATTTATTTCAGTCTCATCGAGAACGATATTAGCTGTATTGACTGCTTAAAAATCAAACAATTAATGCTTCTCATGAAGATACCCTTCAAATATTAAAAAATGCTTTGCTGCTTAAGAGCCAAAATCAGAAAATATCAGTGCCATCAAAATATCACTTCCATTTGATTTGGTAAACACATTTAAAAGTTCTTTTAAAGTAAATAATCAGCTATTAAATACAGTGACCATCAAATGCATATTCTTTCTTCAGGTTTAAGTATTTCGAACGGCCAAGTATGGAAAGAGCAAAGACGAACTTCCGTTCGAATTCTTCGCGATTTGGGAATGGAAAAACCAGCAATGGAAACTCAAATACAGGTAGCGGCTATTTCCTTTTTGTTTTATCGTTTTCCAAGCCGTAAGATCCATTTTCAGTGATTTACCAACTCCTCAGTTGAACTAACACAACATTAAAAGTTTGCTTAAAAAAAAAAAAAGATGAATTTCTCTTTAAAAATACATTAGCAGAATTTCCGCTACTAATCATCGTTTGCATCTCAACTAGTTTTTCAGTGCTCCTATCAGGAATTATAGCCTTCCTTCATGCGTGCTTCCGTGTTTCAACTTCAGCTAACAGCTGTCATATCGGAGTTAGAATTTGAAGTAGGCACTGCTAATTTTTCAACATTCCCGCTTCGAGAGTTCTAATAGTGCAACCTTTCATAAGATAAAGAAGTACGAAGCACCTAACAAAGCGCTTTACTATACAAACACTTTACTAGATAGTTTAAACACTACAAAACTTTACTAGACAGTTATGCGCAGAAAAACTTTCAAATCGTAAGACAGGTTTTCTTTAAATCTACATTCACATAACCTATCACTTTCAGTTAATAATTCTAATCTTAATTTTTCCGAAAGTTCCTTAGCTCAAAAACCTCTTTCTCGTATAAACTTCAAATATAGAATATACAAGAAATCCACATACAGTATTTAACGAGTAATGTGTTACACTTAACTACAGGAATACAATATTTTAATGAGTTTCTATTTTACGAATGATATCACACATAAGAGAAAATGGTCCATGAACAAGGCTTTTAAAATTATAATACTGTATAATGTTTTTATATAATGTTTTTTTAAAATTACTCTATAATGTTTGGTTTGTTTCTCCCGAACATAATATTTAAATATGAGGATTTTCCATTTGCGAAATTCAAGTTGTTTCTGGAAGCAATATTTTGCTGCTCATATGCTTTTAAAGAACACGCAGAAACAGTAAAACAACGATCACACAAAAAATGTTAAATATATCAATATAAAGTTTAAATTTGAAAATAGTACGTAACTTCTAATGCTTGTATTTGGTTTAATAAGCGTCAGTGTGTTCTCCGTTTTTCGCACATTAAATCTTCAAGTAGCTTCTGATTTTGCGTCATATCTAAGGCTGCCATTGCAATGGCTGAACCGGAAAAAGCAGCCTACAAGACCATATATATTGTTTCGTATAAAAATTATTGTACATGATGGGAACATTTGTAATGTCTCGTACAAACGACTAAGAATTACCACAACCATCGCAAAAGTAATTGCAGATATGATTTAGTGCATTTTGCACCAGATCGAATACCGAAGTCTTGCCTGCGCGACAAATGGAGCACATGCCGAAATCTACTAAGCTAAGACATGAACTCCGAACTAAGTATTCTGTGCGAAACGCAATCCATTGATTCGCGCTTCGTGAAATACGGATATCTGCACGAACACCTCTACTTCTGCAGTAATTGACTCATCTAACATCTGTGTGCTGTGAGAGAGAAAATAGTCTTATGCACGAATGTATTCATACTCCAGACTTGTCAGTTTTTACAAATGAGACGTAGTTTTTCAACCTGAACTCCATTAGCATTTCTTCCTCAAAATTCTCTCTCGAGTAGGTTTAACTTCTGTTGCTAAATGCAAGGCTTTTAACCTCTTCTTTCTCAAGAAACTATCTAAAAAATCTGAAATGAAACCATAAATTATATCTTTATTATAGAAATTGTGAATTCATAACTATATGAAATTGTAATTTCTACATGTTTTTGTAGTCACCCAGACGGTATAGTGGTTAGGGGAGCCAACTACGATGCCAAAGGGCCCAGATTCGAATCCCGGAGAAGGCATGGTTGTAACTGTCCGCCCATGTAGCTTAGTAGCTTAGTAGATAGGAGGCAAAGGTGGCTTATCAGATGACTCCATAATAAAGTGACCATCACTTCTAACCTTAGTAGCGGCCAAGCCGAAGTTGGCTGAAGGCCCGCCATTGGTATTAAAAAAAACATGTTTTGTGAATCAACACAGTGGGAATAAAATAGGTATGTGTCAAATATGTTATTAGGCGGAAGGTAAAAACTTATTCTATAGCTGAACTGTATGACATGTGGCGTTAAAAATGTCTTTTATTGATTAAACTAATGACGTACAAGTTTATAAAAGTTATTAGTTAGATAAATTTTAAAAATAAAGTGGTGATGAAAATTATAAGAAATATTTTATTATTATTTTATTATTTTTTACGGATGTACATAAAACATAAATTAAAGACACATAGAATAGTAATAGTTCACTGGATTGGCGGTTTGCTAAGGCGTGTGAGTGACTATAGTCTCAGTTATTAATTGAAGGTTATAGGACATTTTAGGCAAAGTGTGATACTTCTTTGGCAATATGAAGCAACTCCAATGATGGAACACAGAAAAACTTTTATTTAGCACTCAAAACGGCGACATACGAAATAAGAAGAAAAAAGAATTCTAACATTTTAAAAATAAATTACATTCTTCGTGCGAGAGTCGCACGTGGCACTCGAGCCTGGTTTCAAATATTGCCATTCACAAATACCTTAATGTTCATCTATTTACATTATTTAAAAAGATTTTAATAATATTTAAAGCTGCTACAAAAGACAACAGACGCGTTCTGCATTATATTACTTGTTCCTGGATATCATATTTAATTATTACGTAATATAAAAATCCCCTCATGGTGAATTAAATTTGTTTAAAGCAGAACGCTTAAGAGAATTTAAAATGTAGCGATTGTTATAAATATAGTACATTTTCGAAAAAACTCACGGAACGACAGCAAACATGGAACTATGGGGATACGAGTTTTACCGTTAAACTATTTTTTTATCAAATAAAAGAAAGTTTTCAGTTGCTAGGAACTGTATTGCCAAAAACAGCTCTCAGTTATTTAAATTATCAGTTTGTAAGTTTTTTTTATATACCTCAACATTAGTGTTTTAAAAATTGCTCTTTTATTAATTTTTATGTAGGTAAATATATAATAAATAATAATCTTTTTCATTATTATTCTATTCTATTCAACCGAAAAACGGACATCTAGGTGTAATTATTAGTAAGGAACTGATTTTGACTATTTGAGCTGCGAAAACATGAAACTGGGTTTAATTTGAATAATGTTATCAATAAAATTTTCTGGAAATCTCGAGATCTGTGAAGTAATATTCCTTTTCGCAAAAACTAATCGACTATCGACAAATCTTAAACACTGAACTTTTCTCAACTTTCAAGGGATCCGCTAGAGAAAACATTTTCTATTCTCTAAATGTAGTAAAATTAAAGAGCATTGGAAATACTCTAAAAGGTAACTACTGTATGCGCAGCTTAACGTTAAACGTTTGCCCAGGACTATTTTGATAATATAAAATATAACATTTATAATATTGCAGAGGTTACTTTAATTTCCTTGTAAGGATCCTAAGTTTTACTAACGTTTATTTTATTTTAAAACTGTACTATCACTTCTAATTTTCTACTTCCGGCCAGAGAATTAAATGCTTTAACTTGTTTATGCAAATTGTCTTGCTAGGCATTTGTATACTAATTCAAAGTTAGTTTTTTAGTTAGAGTTTTAGTTAGTAGTTTTTATATTCTTACGTTCAGACCACAAGTGGTTGGTCTTTGTATTCCGAAGTTCGGAAGATCCTGTAAAAGACTGAAAATAAAGGGTTTCATATACCTTTCCTACTTGTGCTGTATACTTCACACCTTTCTTGAACATAGCTTGATTAAGCTCCCTGTTCCTATTCAGGATCATTTATGTTTCCAAATCAAATCAAGAGAAACACAAGTCCTGACATCCTAACAGTTATTTTAAGTTTAAACATGCTTTACCATCTATTCTCTTTTCCCATCTACTATACCCTACCAATATGAGTTTTTAATATCGCGTTGTAAGCAAATGAGTTATAAAGCGTATTTAAGGAAGTATCAGCTTACTTCAAGAAGAGAGCGCTTATGAGTCCTTAGTGACGCTTGTTTGCCGTCAGGCTACTTGTTATTAAATTTACTACGCTCGGCCGTATCGTACATGCCTTTTGATAATCGCCGGCCAGGTTAAATTAACGCCAATTATGTTAGGTATTTGTGCCCAGCTTCGGCTAGGTCAGTTTAGTTTAGTATTAGATTAGTCTCTTACTTTTCTTATCTTGATTTAAGGTCCGAATGGAGGCTTACCTGTACGCCCTAAAAGGGGCCGTTTGTAAATAATCTGTTGAATGAATAAAGGGTATTTTAACCCTTCTCTAGAGTTTGTTGTTATACAAATGAACTCAGTGATAAGTCGTTCAAGAGTTCAGTCAGTTCCTCTACGTGCAGCATAGACTTAGCAAAGAGAGACATTATGATATAATATTGTAAGAGTAACACTGCAATGTAAAATTTATAATTATCAAAAAGGAATCTTAGATATGCGATTATTTATGACGTTTATTTTAAATGAAACTGAAATTGAGAATTGAATGTACTCAATAAACTGAGTTTTATTCAAAGTCTAGGGCAGTGTAACTTTTTTTTCCTATTCAATTTATAAAAATAACTCATATAAGTGCACATGAAAAGCTCTATTTACACAGCGCAACTCAATGCATAATGTTTAACGTAAATATGACCAATAAACAATCAAACTAAAATCTTATGCATGACAGCATCAGACTTTCAGACATAACGGATTCCCTAATGAACCATATGAAATATCGGAAGGGAACAGGACTAGTGATGAAATTATTAAATTAATTATGTACGGTAATTCCTTGACTAATATCTTAGTCGAGATGCAAGCTTAATTGCTTTCATTAATTCAAAGCCGAAGGCAGTTCATTTCAGCCGTCCCGATATTATCGATAGGCATACGAGATGAAATGAAAATGGGAAAGGGGAAGTTAATAAATTCTATAAACTGTGAGGCATAATATCGCATCTGTCTTGAACAGTTGCATCATATTGAAGTCTCTTGTTTTAAAATATGCGCTACGGAGTTGTTATACATCTGAAGTTCTCAAAACATCATTTAAATCCATGCTTTAAAATATGGCTTGCTTAAAGTGGGATTCATTTTGGCGTAGAAAGCATATCGATTTACTTGCACAGTTTATAGAATCTTAGCTCTTCAAACTTAGATTTTAAATTCAACACAGAACTTTGGTGGAGTTTTTGACTTTTCTCATTTAAGAGCTTTGTCGTATATTTTCTAACAGTCTTTTTCATTGGTTTGTCCAAGGTTCAAAAAATTTCCAATCTTCAGGTATCTGGATTATAGAAGCTTCTAGCATTACCTCAGTAATTAATAAAAAGATTCGTTAAAAAAAATTTCAAAAATGAGTGCAAATGAAAAGAAAGATAAAGAAGACTGATAAATAAATTTAAAAAGAATGAGACCTAGGATAATGTATCGATTTTAAGAGAATTCATACACGTGTACAAACTAAATCAGTTTCCTGCGTAAGTTTGTAAGTCATTCAATTATTTTGAAGCAGGAGAAAAATGTGCAGTGCCCTCTCCGGCACTCGAACCTGGACCTCTCGAATACCTGCCGAATGTGCTACCGATACACCACGAAAGCATACTGGAAGGAGGGAGAAAATACCTTATATACTCCTCCTTTTAAAGGGCGACGGGGGATTAGGAGACCTAGTTGCCAAATCCTGGTGGTGACGAATTATTGTCCACCACCTTTAGTCCGGGCGCCATTGTAGATTCATTAGGTTATTTTGAAGCAGGAGATGTGCAATATATGCATTGCTGTCGCAGGGACTCGAAACTGGACCTCTCAAATACGCGCCGAGTGTGCTACCGGTGCACCACGAAGGCATGCTGGAAGGAGGGATACCTTATAAGTTAATAAATACCTTATAAATTAAGTTAATAAATAGATACAATTCCTGCAAAATATTAAATATATTAATTACTTTATTCTGTACACAAAATTTCAAATACTTGGACTAACTGGAACCACTTCCTTTCCAGAATTTTGATAAATCCGAGTAATTGGGTGATTCACTGAAACGCAACACACACGCACCCACATACATACAGAACATAATTAAGACAGAAAATTCATAATGGACCATGGGAAAATTTTGCGCTAATACAGATATGTGAGAAACATTTCAGAAGCAATACCTATGCAGATAAATAGCGTGAAAACATTCAACAATTCTATAACTTATAAAAGACTTACAAAAGTTCTATATAAAACTAAGAAATACAAATTGATAGTTTTCAGAACTGTTGAATAACCATTTATTTTCAATTACATTCTTGAATAAATCATTTTGAAAAATTCTGATTTTATTCAATAAGCAGTGTTTTATAAGCATGAAAACACAAAACATGAATTGAAAATTTTTATAATTCAAAATATAGTTTAGTTGTGTTTAATTTTAGGCAACTGAGTACCAAATGCTGCAGTGCAAACAATCGCAAAACTGGAAAATTTAGAGAGTGGAGAACGTAATTAATGCTATCTTTGTCAAGTGTTTTAAAAATTTAGAATTAAATTTTTTCATTTATATACACTCAATCATAACGTGGATTAAGGTATTTGCTTTCTAGATTTATTATGCGAAATTTTGTTACAAAAATTTTACAACAGCTTTAAATTTCCCAAGTAGGTTTATAAAAAATGTAAAACCTAATTTCTAACTACAGAGTTTAACTGTCTCCCCCCTCAATGTTACATGAAAACTACAATTGCGAAATATCACTGCTGGATTATCTAAATGTAGAAAGTGCACAAAGGCAAATGAGAATTTTAATTTTATTTTATTCTACCTCATCATTTGTGAGGGAGAAATTTAAATACTGCAAAACAAATATACCAGTATCCCGGACTTTGCGGTGGAACCATCTGAAATTTAAAAGACTTTAGTTGACAAATAAATATTTCTTATCAAGACTACAACTCTCCGGTCAGACAAACTGAAAGCCATATTAAGTCTTAATCTTCGTTAAAACTAGCTTCTGGAAATTCTGTCAGGCAACGACGTTCGCTAACTGACAAACATGGCCAGCATTCTTTACGGCTAAACATTGATCTAGGACACTCACACTGTTACGAATTCTTCTCTTAACTTTATACCAATGAAATCTACATAATTTTCTGGAATGACATAGTACGTGACGAAATGAAGCATAAAAGAAAGATCTAAATTGAAACTTTAACTGGTTAGTGAAACTCCACTAAAATGCCAGGTTCTCTGACGCCATTTAAAAATTTAATAACATTTGCCATACTTTATACAAGTAGCTCCTTAAATCCTATTCAATAACCTTCAAAATTTGTCTTTCTTCTTAGATGCTTTTAATTTATATAAATATTAGTTACATCCCACTGTGATCAAATCCTTTGAGAATTAATTTTCATTACACAGGAGCATACTAATCAGCATGACACAGGTCCCGCCATAGTGTCTCTGGTTTTTTTCATTATATTTTTTAATTTCTTAAGGACGGCCATCTGCTTGGCAAAGAATCGCTTAAATGGGTCATCAGTTTCTGGAAACTGCATATGCCACGATTCTGTGAACGGGCAGGTTGTTTTGTAATGATCTGGGGAAATTAGGTAACAGAAGTATATATGACTCGTACTATAATCTATAGGTAACTATAACTAGTAAACAAAATATTTTTAATTCACATTAGCCTAACTGCCTCAATAACATTGGGTAAATTCTTAGTACGTTTTCAATAGAATTATCAAATACCTTTTAAATTGCATATATGGATAATGCTGATATGTCTTTTGTAGGAAGAACTCAATAAATTTACCAAAGAAATTGATTCCAGACGAGGACATGCTATGAATTTGGACGAAGTCCTTCTTCCCAGCGTATCGAACAATATTCTGGCCATGCTGATTGGACATTCTTTGGATTACAAACATAAAGACAGAATCTTCCTCAATACTATTCTGAAGACCATGGTTCTTTATTTCAGGCCAACACGTTTGCATGCCTATTTTCCAAACGCTAAGTTCTGGATGGCCAAATTCAAAATCTGGGGTTATGACCAAATGCAAGACAAAATGAACAGTTTGAGTAACTTTCTCGAGTAAGTCAATAAATAATCTCGAGTAAGTCAAGTGAAAGCAGTTTATGTAAAACAATAAAGTATAAGGATTACTTTATATTCAGCACGGTAAAACTTCAGAAATCCAGATTAAGTGAGAATTTCATTCATCCACACATTTGCTATTCCCCTCTGCAGCTGCTTTACTGTAAAGCGAGTAGTATAGTTATGTTTTCTTTTTTATCATTTTTTTCTACTTTATTTCAACAACTATTAATCAGTTAGAAACAAGTGTACTTTATACTTAAGAAAACAAAATAAGTATTCTCGGACACAAGACGCGCAAAAAATGCGACATACTTAAAACTAATCAAATACGTTTGAAAGTTTTCTGTCTTATGCTGGTATTCTAAAAAGTAACTATCAGCCTTAAGACAAAAATTCCTCACGTGCAACTGGAATATACATAGTACCATTATATGTGATATAACGTCTACGCCTCTAATTAGACAATTCTTAATAGAAAAGAACTTGTTCATTATCAGCAATCATTCTCAAAATAAACAAAGAAGAACAGTAATATACATAATGTGTAATAATATTAACAACAACTTTAATTAGCTAAAGATGTAACAAACTGTGTGTACTTACCTACTATACTAGATGAAATTCAGTATCGTACAGATCCTTTTAAACTAATTTAGTAGCTCCTTAAAAATATGCGTTTTCTTTATATTCTATATTATTTAAATCAACGTAAAATTCAAAAATATAAAATATATTACCAAAAAGCTTAGTTTAACTAATCCTATGATTAAAAAATATCAAATAACTTAAAATAGTATATTAAATGCTACTTCATCTACTAACTTAAATTTATACTTTTAAATCAACACAGAATGTATCATTTAAACGCAGTTTTTACTACCTTGTTATAGAACATACATGTGTTACGTATTAGTTAAATTAAAAGCACATACGCATATCCTAAATTTTCACTATTTTCGTTTCAAAAGGTGTTTTACATGAATCTAAGGTAAGACAAAGTATCATAGGGCCTAAATTCCTAATTGGTATTTTAAAAACCTCACTTTTTTAATAAAGTATCGAAGATCAAACACATTTTGCTTATCTATATTATATGCATAATATTTTATAATACTCTACCAAATAAAAAAGAGTAAATATAAAAAAATTAAACAATTCTTTGAAGTCCATCTGAATGTTTGCAGATATTCTGTTGTTCGATTTTAATCCTAGACATATTTTCCCAATCACAGAATTTTCAAAATATGGTAGAAATTTTCGATTAGATAAATAAAGTGTAAGTTTTAATATAAGTATATATAACATTTTTATACCTTTACATATAAAAATTGGCAAAGACACGCGTAGTTATGTTTTCAGAGAATTAATTTGTTATTTATTAATCATTATTACAATTTAAGACAGAGTTGTTTTAATCAAGACGGAAATATTTATTGCCTAATCGATTGATTTTTTTTTACTGAAATTGCTTCCTAAATTAACTCACAAAATCTTGAATTTAGAATCTTAGGCTTTAAAAGTGAATGGAATCAGTAAATTCGTTCTCGAATATATGCATAAATGTAACTTATTAAATTTAAATATTCTACTAACTGAAAACTGTAGTTACGATAATTATATAAAAAAACTTTCATCAACAAAATCCTCTCAATTCAAAAGTTGAAACTGTTTTTATCAAAATCACTAGCTTATTCTCAAGCATTTTATGACTGGAAACACCAATTTAATATTAATATTTTAGAAAATGAAGCATCTAGCCAACGTTTCCAAACTTCTTGTATTTAAAATAAAAATTTATTGGTGACGGCTCATGATTTAAAATAGCTGTTGCCAAGTATGTGATCTAAAGCTGCGAATGTCAACCGGTGGTACGAAAGAGAAAAATAGGTGGTATGCAAAGAAACATTTTTTTTAACTATTAAATTCAAAAATGCAATGAAGAAAAAGAACAATTTATAAAAATTTCCTGTGCTCGAACTCTAACTGAAGATTTCAAAAATAACAGGCTTGTTAAGTTTCGGCTGTACCGAAAAAAGACTTAAAGGTATTTTAAATAAAGGGTTTAAATTTGTATTGCTTTTTTTCAAACCCTATTTGTATTAAACCTATTTTATAAACAAAATTAAAAGGGGATCATAATTTATGGTTAAAACTAAATGAAATAAGACCAAGCATAAAGAAATTGATCTCTTTTAAACAGGCCCAAATTTCACACTAAATTTTAAAATTCTTAAGTTTTGATAATTAAATTGGTAAACAATTTTTAATCGAGTATTTTTATGTGTGCATATTTAATACAAATAGCCAACAGGTTGTTGTGCAAATGGCAAAATATATTTTTTTAACATTTGAGAAATTTAAAAATAATCATTGTAAAATTTAGTGGTGGTATTTTTCAATTTTTGTTTAGATGGTACGCGTTAGTCAAAGCGTTGAGAAGCACTGATCTAAAGTATTTCAAGAAGCAAATTTCTTTCTCAAAAAAGAGGGGAGAAAGAAAAAGAGAGTTTAATTTTCTCTTCGAAAAAATTACTATTTAATTATGAATTTCTGATTTTTTAACTAAACGGAAATTTTAGTCTCGTTTTTAGGCTAAAATCCAATATGATCACCTTCAAAATAAAGTAATGTGTTTCAAAATGTTCTCTTTTGTATGGTTTTAAAGATAGTACAATAAGCATTAGAGCAGCCTGCAAAAAGAAATGGTAATATATATATTACAATTTTTTAACGTATTTAATGAAACCTAAACTTTTAAAGCAAAAAAAAAAAAAAAAAACTTTAAAACTGATATTAATTGCTTTGTTAAATCGGATTATCAGAACTTATTTAATGTGTCTGTTTTTCCTTTAAATAACTTTTTTGCCAATACAGCTGCAAAGAAAGAGTTAAATTATTTTTAGGTTGCCGTAAATTTGTCTTTTTAAAATGTTCAAAAAATAATACTGAGTATTATTTCTTAAACCTTGATGTGCATGTTTGTGGTTTATGAAATATGCTTGCATAATGGTTGTATAATTTCTACTGATAGATTTTGTTGTATTTTTTAAACTTACGATAGTATATTTCAAAGGTATGGGCCTCACATAATAATGCCTAACTCTGTAACATTAATTATTTACTGTGAAAAGTTTTTACAGTTATTCGAATCCTTAAAACCGTTATGCAAAAATATTTGTTAGGCTATAATTATTCCTTGCATATTTTTTTTTAATAAATTGATATAATATATTGATCTTTTGCTGTACCGTGGACGCTCTTTCATGTATCTCATCATATTTTTTACGGCTCTTTTTCTGCTTATAAATTCTGGTTTTTATATTTACATAACTTTCATATTTTTATTTCTGCTGAACATAGACAAATTAATTATTTTTTCATTTATAAATAGATACAAATGATATATAAATAAATTAAATTGAAATGTCTGCATTTTGTATTCTAATATTTCATAAAAAAGTGAAATAAAAGATCAAGAATAATTTCATAGATTCTACTGTATTTTTTTTCAATGCAGTAACACGCTAATTTTAATTGTTTTTATTCCTAAACAGATTTCTTCTCACTGGACTTTATTGCTAATCCTTATATAAGTGTATTCTTATTTTAACTAGCACGAGCTGCAAAATTATATTTATGTCAGCTGCAAATTTATATTTATGTAGATTTTCCACCTATTCTAATAGTATGTACTATTTACTGTCTTTATAGGGAAGTAATCAAAAAACACAAAGAACATTTCGATAAACAAGCTCCAACAAGCTACATCGATGCTTACTTACTAACTATGGCAAACCGTGATAAAAACTCTTCATTTACAGGTTAAAAAATCATTTTTATTACTGTCTTTTTACTGAAAAGTTTCAACTATAAATTCCAAACATCGTAATAATTTAGGTAATGTATACTGTTCCGAGGTAAAGCACTTAAATCTGAAAAAGAGTAAAGCAACTAATGCTCTTAAAATTGCTAATATCAAATGTACCGTAACAGATAGTAAAATAGCACTGTTGCGTCTCAGTTTCAGTAAAAATACAATAGTCTTTTGTAACTGACACCCAATAAACGGATGATGTTAAAATAACGGCACTTTTGAAGATCTAAATCTAAATCAGAAATTTAAATTTATGCGATAAAAATATGTTATTTGAAGACTTAAATGTGGAAAATATCTGTATTATAATTCTCCCACCCAATACGTAACAAATATTATCCAACCAACGAACCAAGGAGTTATTCAGAAAATAAAGATGAACTGCCGATCCCTTTTTATGCGTGAATGTGCAAACTTCTGAAACTGAAAATCATGTGCTCTGCGTCTATGATTTTCAAAAGCAACTCACATCGAAAGACGAGAGATTTATTCGGTTTATTGCTTGGAAAGATGTAAAGATATTATTTTATGTCGATATTGGCATAAATTGTTGGCCATGGTCATGTCTGTACATGATGAGTCGAGTGCCGAAGATTCTTTTGGTTTTAAAATACGTCCGGCTTCGTGTCTGACATCTTGAACATAATTACGTGTTCGGAGCAGATTAGTACTATTGAAGAGGAGGTGCAGGCTTGGATGGATATAGACAATTCTGTTCCCGTCTCTCTTTCTCGAGATGATCACGAAATACTCCGATATGTATTGTGAAAGGAGAAATGTAATGAGAAGGTTGAGGCGAATGAAGATAAAGAGGACTTTCTGGGCAAAACGGTTATGTGGTTAGAAGCTGACGAAAAATTGCAAATTTGCCAAGCAGTGTTTCTCTATGTCAGTACATTTGTAGCGTAACTGCAAGTTAAACCGTACTAACCTATACTGGACTGACAGCGACTTATCGCTACATCTTAAATAACTCAAGCATATTGAAGAAGTCTTAAACTGAAGAGAATATGCTCAGCTTGTGCTACAACGAACTCCGCTATCTTGCGGGTATTTAAATTAACTGAACGCAAAATTTCAATTTAATTAATGTGGTTGGAGACTACACATAAGACAAATTTATTGAGCTAGCTCAGAATTTTACCGGCGCATTTTTTAACACATCGTAAGATGGCAAAACTATAATATAACTTTAGACAGATCTGGCAAGAATAAGTAACAGCATGACGCGGTTGCCAGAAGTTCTCATCAAAACATTCAGAACCCTCAGCTTAAATACACAAAAACCTAATTTTCATTCTTGTGAGGAATACGGAGAGAAGATATAATAAAGGCTTAAATCATAGTAATAGACTAATTAAGGTAAAATAACTTACACGTTAAGTAATGAAGTATTGTATGCAAAGTACGCTTTGCATATAATCCTTCATTACATAATGTACTTCATTGTATGGCAAGGAAATTTTAGAACTACGACGACAGATTTCTTCGATCTTACTCAAGCACACTTTTGGTGTTATTTGCCGTCACGATAAATTATTTGTGCCTTTCATTGGATAATATATCTACTAATTTAAAGTGTTGTTTAACTTTGTTTTCCTTGAATATAAAAATCATGTGAATTTGTTTTTAATTTTAAATAATCTGTATGATTTTTGATATTATTTACGTACTTGTGGTCGATAAGTCAATAACCACGACAAGAGGCTTCGCATGCTGCAGTTCACAACGGTGGAGTCAGAAAACATGAGTAGGTAAGTTCTAGAAATTTATACTTAATTATCCGCAAATATTTCTCATCCGGAATCCTGTTGATCATCCGACACAGTCCTGTTGCTGCCGGTTAAGAGACAATCAACTGTACATGTAATTTCGTTTTAAATTTTCTTCTTGTCTTTTCGTCGAGACAGAGCAGATGTACATGAACTAAAGTTGAATTATGGGATCAGGTGCTGCTGGTCTTCTTTTAAGAGGAATTCAGAAGTTTACCTCTTTTAAAAATTTTCATTCTAAGGTGCTCAGAAACGTTGCCTATTTATCAAAATAGTTATCCTTTAGAAATTAAAATACTTTTGACACTTCAATAGTTTCATTATAAAGAAAAGAAATCTAAATTGAAAATAAATCTGTTATGCAAAATATAATGATATTTAAAATTATTTTGTTCTTTTTAAGGCTTTTAGCTTCACTTTCGGCTTTATCCTTTTAACAGCATTTTATTTCAGTACTCAAAAGATCTTTTATTCTCTTTCCTGCTGATGAATTTTCAAGGAAATAAGGTAAAACGATTCAGGCACATGAAAGAAGAATTCACTAAAAATGACTCAAGAGATTCAAGAGAAAGTTTCGGTTATCTAGGATTTAGATTACCTATAAAATAATGTTCCCATACAAACATAGTTCACTTAAATGAAGAAAAACTCATTAAGTAACCTGGAGATACTTAAGAACGTAATAGATATGGCATTAGATGTTTACACTCATTGTGCAAAGGGTCAACAAACATTTGTTAAATTACTATAAATTATTTTTAATTGTTGAAAATTACAGTATGCATTAATAATACTACAATAATAATAAAAAATTAAGTTATGAGTCTTCAGTTAAATGTGCTTAAAATTTTAAAACAAAATTAGCTAGCTTCTCCAAATGCGATTAGAAATAAAATTGTGGGACTGGTAATAATGGCGGATTTTTAAATTAAAATTGTCAACGAGAAATTTAAAGAATTATATATAATTATTCTTAGTATAGCATTTTTATACTGCCACTTGTGTTGATCTTTGAAATTATATTAATGTCATAGAGCTATTTGAATATGGGCATCTCTCGATTTTATTTTTGTCTCATTTGACCAATAATATTATAAAAAAATTTTAAAAAGTTCTTTTTAATCGTGTAACTTATACAAAATACAAAATATAGGAAGGCAATAGAGAAAGAAAATTACACTTTCTTGGAAGTAGAAAACTGATCTCTCCTTATCAGCACAACTACGGAATACACGGGACGTTATCTTTTTCTCAAGATCCTTCAATCTGTCCGATGGAGTGAATTTACATTCAGTTTATTTAGTTTATGTTGGTTTACATGCTCAGTATATTTAAATTTATGTTTGATTCAAAATTCTGATCTCATCATCATTTAATATCATGGGGTGCTAACAATGAAAACTTAAATCTGTGAATTTAAAAATCCATACTTTTTAGCTAAGAATAGCTAAATAAAAAAACGAACCTGTTCTAAAAGCAGCAAAATTCTGCAAATTGTGTTATAAATTTTTAAAACTTTCATTTGGAAGAGAATTATCCGATTATGTAAAGATCGAAATACTGCGATCATTTGTTTGAACATGAAATAAGCACACATGAGAAAAATTCCATGCTAAGATATTAAAAAAATTAATATAAAAAATTTATTAATATATAAATATAATATATTATAAATATTAATATATAATAAATATTAATATATAAATTTTAAAAATAAAAGTCATCTATGTAAAAATTAAACCAAAATGTTATGGAACATTTTGCTGTTAATGCAATTACGCGTATAAAAAAATATTTCAAGAAACCTTTGGGTCTGAGGCAAGGTATTAAGAATTAATGTCAAGATTTGACCCAAATAGACAAACGAACAAAAACAAATCTCCAAATACTTAATAATTAAATAAGTTTCTTAATTATAAATTACTTCAGATTTCTGTTTTATCTGTGTTTTCAATTAATGAAGGTAGTACTAGCCCAGACTATCCTTGATAATCTGTATTCTGTAATACACATTTGATGAAGCTTGAAGAATAGTTAAAAAATGAAACTATCCTAAAGGTGCCCAAATTCGACAAATTATGTTAAAAATTTTAAAAATTTATGACAAAGGATATTATGTAATTCCAAATAAGCGGCATGGATGAATACACTATTGTGCTGAGCAGAAGATAATATTTTTTCCCTTAAATTTCTGACTGTAAATCGCACTCAACCCTTGTAGACTTGATACTCGTATCAGTTAACTTCAGACTTAAGTATCTTATAATAATTTATCACTTATTCCTTAATTTTTGTATCAAAAAGAAATATGTGCACATAATTATACTTCGAAGTATGCTATTTATATGCTTGGAAGTATGTATTATTTATTTAAATATCATTTTTAAGAATATTAAACCTTGTATGTGCGGCTTGCTTTTATACGAAAAACATTGTTTTTTCTTCTTGTGATGCACCTTCTCTTAGCGTGAAGCTGTCTTGTTTTCAGAGCAATATGCCAAATGAACAGCAACAATAAAAATCTTATAAAAAGCCTTATAATGATAATCATATAAAATGGAGATCTTACAATTTAATACTGGTATATTTTAAACAATTTTTCTATTAATACTCTAAAACGCTTTACCATTTTTGAATTTCTAAACAGACTAAAATAACTGATTGAAATATCAATGACTATTTTTTTCAAATTCTTTAGATTATAATTACAGGGTCATCGGAATCAAATGCCGAGATTTCACAACTTTACTAATTAATGAAGTGTTAAACTTACAGAAACAATTCTTATGTTGAAATAAAGTTTAAAAAAAGTAAGCTTTATTTCCGCTCAGTAGATGACTATCTAAACGATCAGTTTTTCCAGCTCATGGGTTAAACAGCGTAGCTCTCTCCTGTAACTTCCACGAAGCCCAGATCTTACACCTCTGGATTTCATCTTCTTAACAAATACAACAAATATTGTTTACTTTTAAAACATTACGATATCAACCACCTAAAACACCAAATGCTTCAAAAGACGGGGACTGAAACTGAATTCCGCCTTGACGTCTGTCGAGACAGTAATAATAAAACTTTTACATGCATATGTCATTATTCTTTTGATCAGTACAATTTTATAATCCCTGCATTCTTTTCGAATAATTCCCTGCATCTATTTATTTTTACTGTATTTTTTACTGTAATTCATGTTGCATACATCAGATTTCAACCACTGAATGCATCGAAGATTTGTTTCGTAATTTAATTATTAGAAAGCAGGCAGGAGAGCTTGAGAAGCGTATATTATTTGTAAAGTTCTGTTCTCATCTACAGACAAAATGCTGAAAGGGAACTTTCTGTCTCTTCTGGGAGCAGGAAGTTCACCAACACAAGCCACTATTAAATGGGCCCTTGCGTCCATGATTCTTTATCCAGAAATCCAAGAGAAAGTCCATCAAGAATTGGATTCAGTCATCGGTAAAGATCGTTTACCTTCATGGTCGGACCATATAAGCCTCCCTTACACGTTGGCAGTGGTCTATGAAACGTTGAGGCAATATAGCACTGTGCCTATAAGCATGCTTCGAAGGTAAGTAAAATTAATGCGTTTTATTTTCACTTATGTAAGAGCTATTATCTTTTCGTAATAACCTTCATGTATTTCGGTAAGAATAATGTTAATTACTAGAATATGTATATACTGCAGTTACACATGTATAATTACAATTTCAATTAATAGTTCTTTCTAGCGATACTGAATTTTGCGCTTAATTTATAGCTATTGATTCTAGAACATAACCACCAAATTGTAAACTCGGTCTTTATGTCTTAAAATTTAAAACACGAATACAATCTCAGTTTCATGGTTTACGTATTTGAAGCACATTAGTATCTCGCGTGATAAATGTCCCGAACAACGAAAGCATACGCGGAGTGAAAAATGTGCCGCATTTAATATATTCTGTTCGCCATAACGAACAGCACGCGAATTTCGTCACACATTAAACGTACAGCTACGCAGATCCGCAGATACAAAATTTGATCCGTTCTTGAACGAAGAATTCAAGCAGAGAAGCGAGCATTGAATATATATTGTTACATAATAAAATATTGTCACTGAATTTCTTAATATTACACTAATGTTGAAGAGCTGCAAGCCGCCTTTGATCAAGAAAATGAAGTCGAAAGTAAAGTATCGTCTGGTGGGGAGACAAATACAAAACCTCCATGCAGTTACAAGGACCTTCTGAAGAAGCGAAATTTTAAATTCCACATTTCTTATCGCTACCATTCGTTTAATAAGAAGCGAAAATAGATCCAGATCACAGCCAAGCAGTAGCATCCCAGTAAACTGAGATGAAGCGAATGATTTGTCTAGTCAATGACAATGCTATGCACTAACTTCAGGACATTTCCAATGGAGGAAAAGACTATTTTGAACAACTTCATGAAATATAGATTTCCGAAATAAAGAGATTAAAATACTCGTATTTTCGTCTAACATGTGAGTAATAGGATCTCACATTTCAAATGATATTGCAGAATGAATCACATTTATTATGCGAAGTATCACTGGATCTAACAGCGAAAAAAAATATACATTGGAATATGCGGTACTCTAGAACTGAGTATGCAGAAAAAACATGTAAAATAGTTTTTGTAATACGTACAATAATTTCGAGCTCAGTTGTAGAAATCAAACTTTTTCGTGATTTACTTATCAACATTTAGTTGCGTCTTCAATTTCTAGCAAGGAATAAATTGTGTGTATGCAAGTTGACTTATTCTTCTTGTTTTCAGAGTGAGTATCAATGAATTAGCTCGTTGGATTTTAATTGCCTATTATGTTGGTTTCAACTTATTGACACTTTGAAGCTATACTTAGACTTGTCCATCAGGCCAGATCGAAAACGATTATTCAGTTCTAAGACAAAGTTTTGGAAGGACTATCTCTTAAAGGAGATATGTCTTTGAGGAAGACTTTCTAAGCGAAAATGGCTCGTATTGATGTTACACGTGAGAGAAACCACAAAATGTTCATCCAAGCAGCCTTTTTGCCAAAAATTGAACCCGGATCGAATTTTCAGTAGTTGGCGTTCTTATTGCTTATATCAGATTATTTGAATCAATGCATAGCACGCTGGTTCTATCTGCTTAAACAGATGAATGCTTTCATGGAGAGCTTTGTGAAGTCAGTTGGTTTGATTATTTGATTATGGCAAAATTCACTATGTGTATTTGCTTAAGGATAAGTATGCCTTCCTGAAAGACGTTCTATAGGTAACTGGTTGGTAGACACATTACACATGGAAAAAACTGCGAAAATGAGTATGCAGTCAACCCGTTCGCCTGATATCAAAAAGGTTGAAAATACTAGCGTTTACCGCTCGGCTGCTGGTGGGGAAGACTTTCTGAAAGAAACTAACTCGTTATCAAATTACATATCGAGAAAATTATAAAACGTCCATGCAGTTATCTCCTTCGCCAGGGTTCAAAACTAGGTCAAAATATTAGAATTCAGCGGTATTGCAATCGGCCATTCATTTATCAGATCAGGGTAAAAAAAGAGTCAAAAAAGGTTTGACTTACAAGAACGCGTTTTGTCTTTTTTCTCAGTTGCTTTAGGCTTTACGTTTCGCATTATTTTTGAAACTGTTAAAAGTAATTTATTAATAATTTCATGTAACTGCAAATATTTTATATTTTTGTGTACATGTTTGTATTTAAGCGCATTTTTAAGATTAGTTTACGGATCTTTATCATATTTTAATTTACAGTATTTGAAATTAAAAGCAAAGAACAGCAGAACTGAAAGAAAAGTTGTGAAAGTGAAAGTAACTTAAAATTTACATGTTTATAAATTAAAATATTTATTTTGACTCAATGATGAACTCAATGATGTCCCAACTTCCTTCTCAATTTCGCGATAACAATCTTATTCCTTATTGTTAAAGCGAAATAATATTATTTCGCGTTAACAATCCTTAGTGAGACCGAATCAGATATATTATTAGTTCATTGTCATCCCGAATTTAGTCCTCATTTCCCACCTCCTTTGTAAAGGAGACTTAATATATAGCTCTTTACTCTCATTTCTTTGTAATAAAACAATCACAGAATTTGTTTTAGCCTATTTCATGATGTTGACATTTGATGTTTCCTAAGAGACCCAATTTCATAATCTACAATTGAAAACAGTTATATTGTGTAAAGCCATTGGCTCTATAATATTTTATTTATTCAAGGAGACTTTAAAAACGCAAACTGAGAATAATCTGAAGCACTACTAAGCCTTGTAATTTTGAGTGTTGCCACTTTCTCTGCCAACAAATTTTAAGGTAAACTTCAAACATTTTTAACAATTTCCTGTGGTAATTCGTATTTTCATCTCAGCGATGTTCTCCGAAAATACCCATATCTTGCAACAAAATGAAAAATCGGCTCTCGTGAAAACAGTTACATTCTTCTCACGTACTCTTGTACTCCTACCATCAGCTTTTTAGCCCGGTACTCACAAACTCGATTTTCAGCTCTAGTATAGTACTCACTACATTATTAGTAGAAATGTTCATTTCAAAAAATACTGTAGAAAAGTTTATAATGTTTTTTCAGGATTTTTGTATATATCAGAAACTTTTGCCAACATTCTGAGTATATATAATACTATGATAGATGATATAATTTTCTTTTTATCTAATTTTTATGAAATTAAATATTTCGAGATTATTGTATTTTTTGGTTATAAATGTACATGCAGATGTCGCTTGTATGTATGTTTAATAACTGAAAGGGCAGTTTGTAAAATTGTACACTTATGTTAAAACTGCTGCATCTGACGATTAATTTTTATCTGCTCATAGCAATGTGTATACGTCACTGAAATAAGATCAGCGTTACTTTTTCGTCAGCTGCAACTTCATACGTTTTCACGATAGAATACAAGAGAGGAACATGCAATATATTTAATGGATTTTTAATTATATGATTTTTTTCTAAAACAATAAATTAAAATTTCACGTTTGCTAATTTTTAGCTTATGTTTACTTACTTATTTGTTTATTAGTTCTTTTTATTTGCAGTACAGCCAAAAGATGCAAGATTGCCGGTTATGACATCCCAAAGGATTCAATCATAATGACAAATATCTGGGGAGTCCATCATGACCCTCAATACTGGGAGGATCCATCATCTTTTAAGCCAGAACGTTTTTTGCAAAACGGCAAAGTCGTTCGACCTCCTGCTTTCATTCCATTTTCCTACGGTAATATGCCCTTAAATAAATTTAAGAATGCTTGATATTACTGTTAATGAAGCATATAATACACTGGTTTTTAACAATTAAGAAAAAACTGAAATCCTTTAACTTAACAACTATACAGTTTATAGGACTGAAAATTTTTAAATACTCTTGCCTGAAATGAAGCTGTCAAAACTCATTAGGCAACACAACTCACAGCTTTTAGCGATATTTCGTGGTATAAGGTAATATTAATAATAGGGCTTGGAAACTCAATTAGTAGAAATGGCCATTGATACTGAAAGGCTCTTCAAAGCTCCCTTAAAGTTTTTTCGAAAAGGAGGCTGATGCCAATGTTGAGATTTCAAAGCATCTTATATTCCCGATAGCTATTAGATAAAGAATTTAGAAGACTGCTTTATACATGTGATCATAATCTCTAAAAATATATATATTATGTACACGAACTGGTTAATTTCATCTTGCACAAGCATAATGAAATTTCGAATCAGATCACAGGGTCTTCTTACTTTCACGTTTTCTCTAGAATGTAAATACAAATCAGTACAAATATCTCAATATAAAATACCATCCAAAACTATATTTACTCTTATAAAAGTGTGCTTTTAACGGAGTGGTAGGAATTAACGGAATTAAAGGAATGGTAGGACATTTCTCATTATTTCTACAGGTCAGGCCTGGAAATTCTCTGGCTACTCTAGGTTTGATTATAAATCAGTTCAGTTTACTACAGCATTGAATAATTTCAGTATTCAGACACTGTCAAGAACAGAAAAGGAAACAAACCACAAGTCGCTCTATACGAGGACCTCCTTGTTGAAGTTTTTTGCACATTATGAGAGCTGAAATGAGCAATCCTGTAATCTCCATAATTAGGCTTAATCTGTTCGCTCATACGTCGAGCAAAAAATCAATCTAAGATATTATCACAATTTGCGACAGCCCTTTTTATTAACCTGATTTAAATTCATTGTTCTTGTAGAAAATACTCATTTTGTGAGTTCTGCACTTTTTTTTAAATTCTAGCACATTTCGTTTCTTTCCTATGGTTAAGGAGTTCAGTGTTTTTAGATTCCAAGCAAGGTCATAAATTTCATTTCCTGTTTTTGGAAAACAGATTGAAATTTTCAACACTAACTAAAATTTGCTGATAGTTCAAAATTAATTTTCTCATAATTCTTAAATATTATAATAGTACGAAGGATGTTTGAAAAAATAACTACGGGTTTATTTCCTTAAATACTATTATTAAATACGCTCATAGTCAGTTAAAATACCGCACTACGAAAAAAACCGTGTCACGACCGTGAACTTATGCAAATGGCCATAGTACGTTTTCATGTAAAAGATTTAAATTTATTGTTGTCACGCATTGGCACATACTGTGCAGTGACGAATCAATCGCGAACTGCCAGATTTAAATAGAAGCACTTCGTCGACTCCATATGAGTGCCTAAAGCACTGGCTGATGTAACCAATCTATGAAGAAGAAAGATGCCGTTTGCACTCCATGCATTATAATTTACGCATCTGACAAACTTCCGAAGGAGTATTGTCATCGGAGGACACACAAAGTCACACTCAGTGGCCAAAGGCAGACCACTGGTACAGAAGATTGGAGAACTGTTTGCCTGGAACTTATAAATCCATTGGTGACCCGGTGTGTTATATGGCAGATGTAGCGGTTCAAGTAGACTTTCAAGTCATGTCAAATGTTTCGAGAAAACATCTATCCCAGAGCCCGGTACCATCCAATAATGCCCAGCTACAGCAAATCTTTTACGTTCAACGATGAGTCACGATTCGTTCTGGGATCGATTGACCGCTGTGTCCGGACAGTCCCAATACAGAAATACAGGTAATTAATTAAGTACCGTTGATTGAATCATCTAGATAGTGTTAGGGAATTGATTCCATCACTTATGGACCACAGAGAATTAAAATTCCATGGGAAATTATGATTCGTTGGCTATACCTCAAGACAGTTTGTTTCCGAGACGGCAAACACCTCGAAAACGGGGTTTCCTTGAGTGGCAAAAGTGTATAAATCGTTCACTTCCTTTGATGTTTCTTTTTCTCTTATCTGGCTAACTTATCCATGATAAAATTGCATTTCAGACCATATTTCAGCTTCGTATTCTTTGCAATTTGCGTAACTACACAACTAAATCTTTACAGCGTTGCATCTACTCTGTGCGTTGATGTAAATAAAAAATCTGATGTGTGCACCACATGACTTCCTTATACGGAATATTAAACTATACCCATTTTTTCTTGCATTTCATTTAAACTTATCAGATTGAATTAAATCTACTTCATCGATAGCGAGTAAACCACAATAGAATAAATGCACTTTTTAAAATTCAATATATTTGTTTACCATAGCGACACACTGGCTCTAGGTTCGCTTAACAGCGTTACATTTCATTCATTTTTTAACTCAGAATGCACAAAACATATATCATCTTAAGAATTATCTAATCGCTGCCACATGTTCTATTCAAATACTATAATAAATCTAAAACCATGTATAAAAGAAATTAAGCAAAGAAGAACAACAACAACTAAAAAAAATATGATGTGTACACCACATGACTTCCTTGTACGGAATATATTATATTATACGCATTTGTTTCTTGCATTTCTTTTAAACTTATTGGATTTAATTAAATCTACTTCGCCGACAGCGCAAACCACAATAGAATAAAGGCATTCTTTAAAATTCACTCTATTTGCTTAACATAGCGACACTCTGGCACTAGGTTCACTTAAGAGTATCATATTTCGTTCATATTATAACTCAGAATGCACAAAATGTATATCATTTAAAGAATTATCTAATCGTTGTCACATGTTCTTTCCAAATACTATAATAAAGCTAGAACGATGTAAAAAAGAAATTAAGCAAACAAAACATAAAAGAAACAGTTTTTCACAGACGACTGAGTATTTCTCATTCAATTAATTCAGTTTTCACTTCGCGACAAGACAAAAATACATAAAAGCTCAAAATATCTGTATTAAAAATTACTAATTATTAAAAATTAAGTAAATCTTAAACACTTATTTCCTCGAAAAAATTCCAGAAAGGATTAAGCATGATTTAATTCGCAATAATAAATGAAGGCGTTATTTTTTTTATTGTTGCGAAGCTTAGTCTCTCTAGATTGGCAACAAATCTACAATTCTGCTGTTTCAAATGTAAACAAATATGTCCGCCATGTTATTTAAAACTTAACCGCACTTAAACAGCTTTTAAATTGTTGATAATTGTAAAAATATTGCTTCCAGAATTACGAAAGGCATAAAAACCTTAACCGGAAGATAAGAACAACATAACTCAATCATTTTTAAAGCAAAAAATGTACAATTTACAAACATATAAGAGTAAAGAAACTGAGATCATTGTGCCGAGTAACAAAGTGGATATATATATAAATATAGTATTTATATACGTTTGGTGCGGCCGATTGCAACCAAAATACGAGGTGCACTACTTGTTATAGCAGTCCTATATACAAAATTTCAACGTTCTGAGGCTACTCGTTTTTGAGATATGCGAGATACGTACGTACGCACGTACGTACATACGTTCGTACAGACGCCACGAAATATTCTCTTCAGAATTAATTTTAAAGCAGTTTTATAATTTTTTTGGAGGAAACGAGTCTTTTATTCTGTCCTTACGTACAGATATCACGCAAAAACATCGTTAAATTGCATTCGATAGCGGTCAAAATGGATATTTTCGTTGAAATATGCTGCCTGAAACCTTTCGCGATTACAATACTTCCTTTTTACTTCGTACAAGGAAGTAAAAAAGAAACAGTTTTTCACAGACGATTCAGTATTTCTCATTCAATTAATTCAGTTCTCACTTCGCGACAAGTTTGAGTTTGATTAAAACTCAAAATGTCTGTATTGAAAATTATGAAGTAAATCTTAAACACTTATTTCCTCGAATAAATTCCAGAATGGATTAAGCATGATTTAATTCGAAATAATAAAAGAAGGCGTTATTTTTGTTATTGCGAAGCTAAGTTTCTCTAGATTGGCAACAAATCCACTACTCTGCTGTTTCAAATGTAAACAAGCAATGGCCGCCATCAAAAACATTATTAGGCTTAGCGGCACTTAAACAACTTCAAAATTGTTGATAATTCTAAAAATATTGCATCCAGATTTACTAAAGGCGTAAAAACCTTAACCGGAAGATAAGAACAACATAATTTAATCATTTTTAAAGCAAAAATTGCACAATTTACAAACTTATAAGAATAAAAAAATTGAGATTACTGAGCCGAGTAACAGAGTGGATATATATATATATTATATACTTTTGGTGCGGCCGATTGCAACCAAAATACGAGGTGCACATCTACATGTTATAGCAGTCCTATATACAAAAGCCCACCAGCGGCCGAGCGGTAAAGACGCTGAACACTAGTAGTTCGGTCTGAGGTTCGAATCCCGCGAACGGGCTGGCTGCATGGGTGTTTTCGTGGTTTTCCCTTAGAAAGTCCTTCACGAAGGCATCCCTCCCTTTAGGCAGATAGCCCTCGTGTGCTTTGCCATAATTGAATAAACCAATCTAATCCAATCCTATATACAAAATTTCAACGTTCTGAGGCTACCCGTTTTTGAGTTATGCGAGATACGTACGTACGCACAGACGTCATGAAAAGTTCTCTTCACAATTCATTTTAAATCAGTTTTAGAATTTTTTGGGGGGAAACGAGTCCACCCTGTCCTTACGTACAAATGTCACGCAAAAACGTCCTTAAATTGCATTCGATAGCGGTGAAAATGGATATTTGAGTTGAAATACGATGCCTGAAACTATTCGCGATTACAATACTTCCTTTTTACTTCGTACAAGGAAGTAAAAATGGGACATATGTAAACCTAATCGACGTATATGTCTGATGAATCAACACCACTCTAAGGTTAAATTTTTACCGAATTTATTTTTGACTAGAGCTTGTATTTATTCCTTACAGTTT